CTGACTTTAACATCTTTGATCCACTTTGAGTTGGCTTTTTTTTTTTTTTTGCATGAGCAGACTTCTCTTTTATTCCTAACTTAAAAATTGGGTAGATTTTTAATATATGATGAAAATGAATTATTTGAATAAAAGAAGTCAGGGGAAAAAATCTCACTCATGAAAAACAAAGAAATAAACAAAATCCCTAGGCATAGATTTAACCAAGATGTTACGGACTTTTACAATGAAAGCTGTGCAGACCAAAGACAGCAATTATAGAAGACAGTTGGTGATGGGAAGCTCTCCTTTAGCTACAGTTCAGCAAAGTTAGCTTGTTATAGTGGCCCTTGTTGTCAAAAGCTGATTTTTGTCGTTTGAGCCCGTCTCTTGTGCTTAAAGCAGCCCAAGGTTTGTTGGTTCTGCTTGTCTTTTCAAAACGGCTTAGTTTCCTTTGTTTTACATTCCGTGTTTATTTCTTCTCTGATCTACATCGTTTCCTATCTACTAACATTGGACTTGTTTGTTCTTTTTCTTCTTCCTTAAGGTAGAAGTTAAACTTAGTGCTTCCGATCTTCCCTCCTTGGGGAGGTGGTGGTAGACTGACCTTGAATTTATGATGGTCCCCTTCTTCTGCCTCTTGAATGCTGGGATTACAGGCACATATAACAATGCTCTGTTCTTTCCTTAAAAAACAAAAACAAAAACAAAATCATTGTGGCATAGACAGGTGGATGGCTTTGAGGTTTAGAAAACTGCTTGCTCTTCCAGAGGGCCTGGGTTCAATCCCCAACGCACACAGCAGCTCACAACTGTTCCAAGGGACCAGGGGCACTAGGCCCATACATGCTACTTGCTTTTACCCTGACCTGTGACCAGCGTCCTCCCTCTCTCTTGTGGGATCTTCATCAATCTCAATGTCATAAAAGAACCAAATTTTAGCTTTTGCTAAATTCCTTCCTATTATTACATTTTGATTTGGGATCTTTTTATTCTGAGCACTCGTGTGTTTGCTATAGGGTTAGGTTGCTGCTATCTTACTGTTGCAGAGTTTTAAACCCAGATTAAATGTTTATGTGTTTCTTTTCACTGAAGGCTGCAATAACTCCAAGCATCAGCTTAGCTGTTTGGCGAATGTTAGCATTCACGCATTTAGTTTTCTTTTCTTTGATTCATGACTTACCAAGAAGCGGGTTTCAATTTCCAGGTTCTTAAAAACTTGTCTGGAGTCTTTCCCTTGTTGTTGATTCCTTTGCAGCAGCTTGTGAGGTGGCTCTGGTGGCAAGGAGCTTTCTGCACAAGCCCTAGTGACCTGCACTTAATCCCCAGAATGCAGAGAAGCTGGAGGAAAGAGCATCCTTTGCAAAACTGTTCTCTGACCTACACGAGCATGGTGTGACATGTATGCTCTTCTCTCTCTCTCTTTCTCTCTTACACACACACACAAATAAATAAATAAATAAAGATAATGTCCTAGTATCTCAAATTTATTGAAATATATATTATAGCCCAATATACCATCTGTGTTTTATTAACATTTTTTTTCAAACTTGAAAAAAAAAAAAAAAAAAGCCCAAGTATTCTCTACTTGTTCAGTGTAATTTTGGGATAAATTTTAATTAGATCAATGTGGCTGATGGTGTGGCTGAAATGCTTTATATTACTATCGATCTTTTTTGAAGCTCAAGGACAATTTTATTAGTGTCTAAAGGAAAACCCTCCAGGGCAGGCAGGCTGTAAATCTTGGCAGCTGCTGGTAGAAGAATGGAAAAGAGAAGGGAAAAGATCCATGCAGTTTAAACTAGCATGGATGTCAGACGGTAAGGCAAGGGGCAGGGTGCTAGAGAGAGCGAGGAAACCCAGAAAGCTGTGTTAGGGAAAGCCTGCTTATAGAAGAGGCAGGAGAGAGAGAGAGAGAGAGAGAGAGAGAGAGAGAGAGAGAGAGGGAGGGAGGGAGGGAGGGAGGGAGGGAGAGAGTTACATTGTTCTGAGTAACTTAGAGAAGTGGCTGAGCCTGGAAAGAGACACAAGAGAAGGATAAAGGCAAGAGTTTATCATTACAAGCCCTAGGCAGAGACTCAGCAAAACCCCACACTAGTGTTTTGAAAGTGCCCAAATCTAAGTCCATTAGTCCAGTGGGCTAATGTGAGCATCCATCCACTGGGCTTCTCCCTTTGACATTCAAGTCTAGACTGGAGAAAGGTGACCCCAGGACACTTTCAGGGTCTTGGATTGTTTTTGGAATGACAAAAATTACAGTATGAGGTCCCTCCTAGATGGCTTTTAGAGAGAGAGAAGCTATAAAGCATCATGAATTTCTTAGGTTAAGTCACTAGTGGGCATGTCTCTCTTGGCTCTAGAGCAGTGCTGTTGTGTTGAATTGAACCAACATCTGATGCTTTTATCTGGGCCAATGATTTTCTTCTTAGGGAGGAAAATTCTGCCAACTCAGTGACTTCTGACGCACTGAGAAGACACACACCACCTTGTGGCTCTTAAGTGTGTCATAGGTCATTTGCCATTTCAGGCTTCTTTTGTTTACCGTTCATTGACTTGTGTGAGTGTGTGTAGTATGTGCACAAGGGTGCATGCACACGGAGGCCAGAGGAGGATGCTGAGTGTCCTGCTGCATCACTCTTCACTTTATTCCTTGGAGAGGTCTCTCTGAATCTGGAGCTTGGCAGGCCGCCAACAAGCTCCAGCAAGTCTTATGTCTCTACTCAGTATAATACTGGGTTTGTAGGTTCATGCTGCTTTTGCTCAACATTTTACATGAATGATTAGGATTTGAATTTGTGTGCTTATGCTTGCATGACAAGTGCTCTTACCATTTAACAAACTTCTCAGCCCTGTACAGTAAATATTTTATAATCTATTTTGTCACCTAGTGACATTCATTACATATTACCCAGGCTCCCCCCATCCCTATGAATGTGTGTGTGTGTGTGTGTGTGTGTGTGTGTGTATGTGTGCATGTAGAGGCCAAAGGTTGATGTTATGTGTCTTCTGAAATCATCATCATTATCATAATAATAAATTATTAATAAATGATTGTGAGACCAAGTCTCTCCCAGTACCTGTAGCTCATCAGTTTAGCTAGGCTGGTTGGCCCTAAGAGCCCTGGGGACCCTTCTGTCTCTACTGTCCTAGTGCAGGATTGCAGATGCATGCCACCATGACTGGCTTTTTATGTGGGTGCTGGGGATCTGAACTCAGGCCCTTACACTTGTATGCACTTTACTGACGAAGCCATCTCCCCAACCTTGGTATTATACACAGGTTCTTCATGTTCATTGATCTTTCCTTCTGAATGTTCCAATTTGCTATTAACTATATCTAATTATTTTTTAAAGATTATTAATATTATTCCCCAGAACATTTGATTTATTCTTTTTTGATGAGATTCTTCAGCTTTTTATTCATTCTGACCCTACCTTTTTTCTAAACATTTGAAAATATTTCTATAATTATTACAGTTCTTTTTTGCTGATTCTGGTCTCCTCAGATAATGGTTTATAAGTGTTATGCCAGAGTGTCAACTTGTCAAAGGGCAGGTCTGTGATGGTTAACGATTGTCAACTTGACAGGATCTAGAACAGTAGTTCTTAACCTGTGGGTGTGACACCACAGAGTTCACATATCAGATATTTACATTACAATTCATAATAACAGAAAAATTGCAATTACAGCATGATAAACTGGATTAAAGAGCTCAGCTTTTGGAAGGTTGGGAACCACTGCTGATTTTCCCCTAGAAGACAAACATCCTGTAATGTCTGTGAGCGAGTTCCTAAATTGAGTTACTGAGGTGGGAGGATCCACTCAAAATGTGGGCAGCACTGTCAACAAAATGTGGTCCTCAACTCCAAAAGAAAAACACAGCTCGTGACTATCTTAGATTTCTATTGCTGTGATAAACCATCACGACCAAAAGCTGCTTGGGGAGGAAAGGGTTTATTCCATCTCACTTCCTGTAACAGTCCATCCCTGGAGGGAGTCAGGGTGGGAATCCCAACAGGTCAGGAAGCTGCCTGGATGCAGGAGCTGAGGTACAGGAGTGCTGCTTTCTATCTTGCCTCTCCTACCTTGCTCAGCCTGCCTTGTTTGTTTGTTTCTGTTTTTTGTTTTGTTTTTTTTTTGAGACAGAGTTTCTCCATGTAGCCCTGGATGTCCCGGAACTCACTCTGTAGACCAGGCTGGCCTCAAACTCAGAGATCCATTGGCCTCTGCCTGGATTAAAAGTCGTGCACCACCACCTTCCAGCTAAGAAACCTGCTTTCTTATACACCCCAGGACCACCCATTCACAATGGGCTGGGTCCTCCCATATCCATCACTAATTAAGAAAACACCAATGAACTTGTCTATAGGCCAATCTTATGGAGGCAGTTTCTCAGTTGAGAATCCCCTTTCCCAAGTGACTCTGGCCTGTGTCAAGTTGACAATAAACTAAGCAGGACAATGACCTCATCTGTTTTTCAATTCCTATGTTTTCCTTACTTGAGTTTTTATTAGTTTTTTAAAAGTTATTTTTATTTTCTCGTACTAGAAATCAATTGCTGACACTTCATTAGTGTTTGCTTTTCTTTGTAATTGTCTTTGCAAAGAAGGAAAAACAATGAGGAAAGGTCATGGTGTATTTGCCACTGTGAGGCATTAATGTGAGCACATGCCTGGAGGGATGCTCTGAGCACACTTGAAAAGACATGGGAATCAGTTTCTTCCACGATCCAGACCCAGGTGGCCAGCAGCCCATCACACAAGCATTCTCCCGACTCAGAAGGCCTTCGAGATGATGACGTCAGCTTTAGCTGGTGTCTGTCTCTTTTAGAAGGTAAGGACACTCTGGGATGAGGTCCAGGAACCCCTTGCTTTTATCACAGCAGAGCAGGGTGAGCACCCGGAGTCACCGAGGGCCTGATGAGCACCCAAGGAGTGTGCTCCAGTTACACTTAAAGAGCCATCTGAATATTTAGCTCTACGACAGCCCTAGAACTTCAACCGTTTCCTGAGAAACTTGCTTCTGCTTCTGTCAAGTTTCCTGCTGCTGTTTTACAGGATGGGCTGTTTCCTCGCTGATGCTGCTTCTCACTCTGCTCTCTCTCACTCAACCCTCCCCACTGCGTGTGAAAGGCGTTTGGTAGAGATGGCTGACGGCGATATTTATTGCACATTAGAGCTGCCTGCTACACCTCAAGTCCAAGAAGACTCCAGATCGAAGCTCAGAGGTGAGTTAACCACACCAGCACCAAACACTGGGCCAACAGTGAGTTGAGAGAACTATTGGACTTTCGAGTGCAGAAAACTGAGGGCAACTTGAGGCAATACTTTTGGGCTCAGTTTGCAGTGCTGATGTAGGATATGGACTTCTGGCATGGAGTGCATCTGTGGTCTGGGGCTCAGATAAGTCTTTTCTAGGCTCCTCTGAGATCAAAGCTAATGCCAAGCAATGGCAATGACATCTTTTTGTTGCTGTTGTTAAGTTTTCTTTATTCGTAAGGATTTTATACATGTAGACAAGCATGCTATTCTTTGTTGATCCCGACCTAAAGGAAGAGCTGTACAAGAGAATTTTGTTTGCAGCAAGGCTTCGAGCAGTTAGTTGACTTTAACTGTTGAAATCTTGCCATCTCTGCTTCTCTAGCCATGGCATAAAGAAAGCAACAGCTTTATTGAGGGGTAATGATAAGACTTTTTGAGATGAGAAATGGATCCATATATGGAGATTTGTTTCCTGTTCTCCACCTCCTTCTCATATTGCAACTGAATGGTGATGGGGGATAAAAATGCTGAACTGTATAGACTGCTGGCCCTGTGATCTAGGGGGTCAGGGGACACCAACAGTAACACCAATAAAAACCATTTTCTGTGCAGATTCCCATCTGAGACAGGGAACAATGTAAATGCCAAAATTAATACTTGATTTCATATCTCAAGCAGGTAACTCCCAGAAGATACACCCTCTTCTGTAGTTCTGTTTGTTATGTAATCCTGCCATCATGTTTTCCTTTTTTGGTTGCAATGTTTAATGCTGTCTTTGGACAACATTGCCATGTTTTCTAAATCATGGGTATTTCTGTTTCTATAAACTATATAGAACTATGCATCTTTGTATGTGAACTATGCATCTTTATATGTGAACTATGCATCTTTATATGTGTGATGCTTTTCTTTATTACATCTACTCTAATTTGTAAGGAATAGAAAAATATTAAATCAAAAGGAATGTATATTTGAAGTATAGCACTTAATATTGTATGTTATATACAATACTATATACTAAGTAAAGAACCTAAGCCGGGCAGTGGTGGTTCACACCTTTCATCACTTAGGAGGCAGAGGATCTCTATGAGTTTGGGGCCATCCTGGTCTAAGAGCAAGTTCCAGTGTAGCCAGGGCCACACAGAGAAACCCTGTCTCAGGGTTGGGGTGAGGGGTGAGATAACCATTTTTTTTTTTAAAAAATTCATCTGTGCCACAAATCTGGTGTACTTGTTATTTTTTATATTTATTTATTTATTTGAGACAGGGTCTCACTATATAACCCTGGCTGTTCTAGAACTTACTATATAGACCAAGCTGTCCTTGAACTCATAGAGATTCACCTGCCCCTGCCTCCTGAGTGCTGGGATTAAAGGTGAAATCTATTTGTTGTAGATTGTTTCATAGAGTGCTAGTGATTTGGGATTTACGAGTCAAAATATTTGCCATGCTGAACTCTTACGATACCTCTTCATTACAAAATTGCTTTAAAGAAATTGAGACTTTTCCATAGGTACAAATGTATAAGAGTAATTTATCTAAAATTTGAATAGGTACATGAGACTAAATTAGGAAAATTAAATTCTCTTTCTTTCTTTATTCCTTTCTCTATCTTTCTCCCTTCCTCTCTCTCTCTCTTTCTTTCTCCCTTTCTCTCCCTCTTTCTGAGACAGAGTCTCATGTGGACCAAAGTGACCTCAAATTTTCTGCGTAGCAAGGATGACCTTGAACTACTGGTTATAGTCTCGGGCCACCATATTCAGATTCAAACTAATTGTTTCATTTAAAAATAACTAAAGAGATAAAACACTTCGCAATTTTTCTTTACACATACTTTCCATACCATCAGACTGTAAGATACCTGTGATTTTTAAACAAAAATCTGAGAAAATCCATTCATTTTCAAACAGAAACACAGTGTTCTTAGAGGGTATGTGCCACATAGTATGACACAATGCTCCATCCTTAAACACAAGGCCAACCTAGACTATACTTCCAATAGTTACACGCAAAAAAAAAAAAAAAAAAAAAAAAAAAAGTGGATTTTATCATCTACTTCTGAGATGAAGGTTATTTTGGTTCAGTTTAAATTTTACATTCATTTAAAATTTGGAGGATACATAAGGAAACATGAGGAAGAATCTCGCTTTTGTTTCTTCTCTTAGACACGTATTTCCTCTTGAAAGAGGAAACACTGTGGAATGCCGGGATGGACTTCCACGCTTGATGGTAGAAAAAAGGCAGAGAAGTGATCTTGGATAGACTTCAGTGATATTAACTGTTCCCTGTTCTGAGGAATATGTCTTTCTCTTAGTTATGTATGTAAAAATCACTTCATATTGGCTTAAAAAAATCCTTCAGAAGCTACACATTTCTTTTTTTCTTTCTTTTTTTTTTTTTTTTGACTTAAATAATTTATTTTAAAAAAGAAAAGGGTGGTTATTTTAGTAGTTGCCATGGTTGTAGCATAAAGGGACAGCATCATCTCCTTTCCTTAAAACCATGTTTGGTTTTTCTTTTGCACAAAGGAAGCTACCTATTTCATGGATATAAATTGTGGTGATGTATTGTTTGTCTGAATATCAGAAAAGCAAAGCAGCCAGCCACTAGCTCTTACCTCTTCCTTAGTCTGAAAGGGTGACCCTGGCTCCATGAATCCTCAGCATGGCTGGAGACTGAATGCCTTCCTGTCCTCAACATGACTGGAGACTATATCTCCCCCGGAACCCTTTGCTTCTTCCTTATATACCTCTGTAGTGCTGGGATTAAAGGTGTGAGCTCTGTTTGACTTTTAGACTGTTTCACTTTAATGTAGCACTGGGTGGCCTTGAACTCACAGAGATCCATCTGCTTCTGTCTCCTGAGTCCTGGGATTAAAGGTGTGTACCACCACTGCCCAGCTTCTATGGTTGTCTAGTGTGGTTGCCTTTGTATTCTGATCTTCAATGGCTTTATTAAATCATAAACAATATTATCACAGTTCCCCTTTTTGTCTAATACAAAAAAAAGAAGGCATAACTAATTATCTTCAGGCTAGCTTTATTAAATCATAAACAATATATTACCACAATAAGTAGATTTGGCTGGTCTTTTGCTGATAAAAATTTAGATTTTTTAGCTGATAAATTTAGACTTTCAGCTTTTTCTTCCTGTAGATGTTGCTGTCTTATAAGTATGATATTTTACACATGTATGAATATCTATAGAAAAATGTTTTTTGAGGAGAAATTGCAGGGCCAAAAGGCAAATGCTTTGCAATTCTGGTAAATAATGCAAAATTGTCCTTCAGTGCCCAAAAGGCAGGGGCTGTCTATCCACTATCTCACTGTCCAAGTGTGTGAGCATACAAATCACAGCCGCAAAGGCAAGAGTTTCCTTTAACGTGAGAGTCAGTGCCATACCGAACCAGGAAAGGAACCTGTGTGGCCTGAGTCTCTGGCCCTCCGGGCAGAGTTGCTTTAGGATACCAGAGTTTCTTGCCTGAGCTTCTATGTGTGCCTCAGGATTTTGCTTTGGGTTGTGCCTCTGCAGCTGACTTCCGCAGGCTCCGTCCTTCCTGCCTTGTGACAGTGGCTTTGGGGCTTTTGACTGTGATTCTCGTGGGTTCATTGATGTGCCAACGGACCCTGTGCTGTGGTAAGTGCTGACTTCATTCCAGATCAACCTTTCGTTTTATGTTATAAAACAAGATGACTGTCTGTGGCCACGGTTTTACAGACTTTAGTAGAGAATTCTAAGGATTCAGCCCCACTCCCCACGTTGTGTACAAGCCCCAGCTTTCTTCAGAGGAACTCCCAGGGAGCTGGGACTTTCTGATCCAAGCTGATTATGCCACAGTTGTCTGGAAAAGGTGCAAGTCCACAAAATGAAATTAACACCTCAGTCTGCAGACCCCTGGCACCACATGCAGCCGTCCCACAGGAAGCTATCTAATCCTTATGCGATGAGGAAAACTTTCTCCACTTTCTAGTTCCCAATCTGGAATGTGTAGTCTGTCTGTCTGTGCTCCTGTGGTCCTGTGATGGAATGGCTTGTGGTGATTTTATGCACATGTGCCTCACGGAAGGAGAAAACCCACTAGCCTGTGAAACCTTATTTGAAACTGCGATGTTTCCACAGTACCCAATCATTTCAAATACTTTAAAGAAGCGAGAATTTTATCTTCTAGAAGAACCCAGCAAGGAGAATTCTAGCACTTTTCACTTTAGTGTCTGATGTGCTTTTCTGTTAAAAAAAAAAATATTATATTCAGGTAGGTCAATCTTGCTGAGTATAAAAATCCTTTCCAATTTCTATTGGCTTCAGATGACCACATCTGTTGGTTCTTTCTGGCTTGTTTCCTTTTCCAGTACACATCATGGCATGTCATCTTGAGGCTGGACATCGTGCATGATTCTGCCCATGTAGCTAGCTTTACATTGGAGATGTACAGGTAGTTCTTAGATATGTGCCATGCAGATGCACACATCCTTTATGCAGTGTGTGTATATCACATGCATATAGATGATATTCAGTGTTATGTGCACTCCACAGTCCTCAGGCAGATCAGATTTTGGTCAGAGTCCAAGCTTGCCTAGTGCTGTGTACACCGGAAGTGATGAATTGGGTATTGTAGACCATTCATTCCGAGGCCATGTGCTTAGGTTAGGATTTCCCAAAAACTTAGTTTGAGAAAGAGTAGGACAAGATAGACACTGGAGATGCCATGTTTTCTTATTCCTCCCTTTTACTTCCCAGGACCATTTGGTCCACAAAGATGTGAATTGTGTCCTCTTCCTTCTAGGCTCCAAGCAGTGTACCCACTGCCCCAGCTGCCCCAACCTCTGGATGAGGAATGGTAGCCACTGTTACTTCTTCTCAATAGAGAAAAAGGATTGGAATTCTAGTCTGGAATTCTGTGCAGACAAAGGGTCACATCTCCTTACGTTTCTGGACAACGAGGAAGTGGTAAGTAAAAATGCGTAGAAGACATCAAACTCTTTTCCCCTCCCCCTTCTTTCCTCTCCCCTCCCCCATTCCTTCCCTCCTTCTAGATGAGATCTTGTTATGCAGTTCAGGCTTTGAACCCCTGGTCTTCCTGCCTCAGCCTTCTAGCTCTTGTGTGTATGTTTATGCATTTAAACATTTATTTATTGGCATTTGTATGTATGTGTGTGTATGTTTTTATAAACATTTATTTATTTGTGTGTATATTCAAATGTGTGTGTGTGTGTGTGTGTGTGTGTGTGTTTGTGTGTGTGTATTGGAGGTGAGAAGGTGGTGGGCATTGCAGTGAAGGACTAGGCCCTGAGTTAGTTAAAGGCCTTAGGCCCTGAAACATACAGGCCAAGAAAGAAGCAGTGGTTTCTATGGTGACAGTGGAACTCGGGAGGGAGGGAAAGGAGAAGGACCCCAAGGACAAAAGGGCCACACATAGGGACTTAATGTCTTCGGTGAGTGCCTTCCTTTTATTCATTGGAATTCAGTAGGCTATAACTTGGGACAATGTCCAGAGCTTGAGTTAAGAAGGAGAGAAAACTGTGGGAGTTCTGTTTCCTAAGTTCCCTCTCCATGCCTCTGCTGATCCTAGAGGAGGTCAGCATTGTGACAGGTTGACATGCTGGCACAAACTTACCCAAACTCAATTACAGTTCACATATAAAAATAAAGTAAGGAATCTTGTTGGTTTTTACTGTTAATTTCTTGTTTTTTTTTTTGTTTTTGTTTTGACATTGCTGTTTGTTTTAATTTGGGGGGATAAAATTAAATCACAGAGAATAGTTTATTAACAATTGAGAGATGGGGGTTTTGTAGCCCAGGCTGGTTTCAAATTCATGATTTTCTGGACTCAGCCTTCTACTCATATTAATCTATTGGGATTGAAGGACTCCACTACACACCTGGTTTGCCAATTCCTATTCTGAGAAAAGATGAGGTATTAGCTTATTTTCTCTCAAAAGAACACTTAGACACTTGAAATTCTGGAAGGATCTGAACTCTAAACCATTCCTCAGAAATTTGATTTTTCCTTCATCCCTTCTCTGAGCCAAGGTGGAAGAAATACATGGGATCTCTTCACAGCACAGGGAAAGAATAACCTTGGCTTCCGGAACTTTTGTAGCAGCTAGCTTCATTTTGCTATAGCTGTTTTGAGGTTCTCACTGAAGTCAATAGTAAAAGTAAGCAATTAGCTTGCAAAGTTTGCCCCCAGGTCTGTAGACACAGCAGCATCAGTGAGTCATAACACAGACAATTGGCAGCTGGCCACAGAGAATTAGTTCTAGCAGCAACATAAATTACACATGAGCCACGGAGTTCAGAAATAGATATGATGCGGAGTATTTGGGAGTTGGCACTATCTCTGTTTCTGCCCAGAGGAAGAGGGGGTTCTAGAGGGATTTTGTCTTTCTCTCCTTATGTTTCCTGGATCTTGTACCCACTGTGGAGAACACTCAATAGAGTTAAGTTAGCTGCATTTCCAAAATGAGACTGTTTTCTCTTAACCCCAGAGCCCTGGGCTCCAGTCAGCACTGGAGGGTATAGAGTGCCTCTGATGGATTAGTAACAGCTACCGATAAGTTACTTTCCACATTCTTGTGCATTCTTGCTTGATTTTTCCCCCTTTCTCCACCTTTTGTCAAAGTCTATAACAAAATGATCTGTATGGATCGGTAGAATGCTTTTGTTTTCAAGGCAAGACTTGCTTACTACATTATGGTATGAGCAATATTCCCATGGTCATACACGGGTCTGGGAAACTACCAAAAGGCCATATTTAAAAATAAAAACCTGGGCCTGGTGCCACATGCCTGTAATTCCACCACTCAGTGGGCTCAGGCAGGAGAAGTCTGTGCTCTGGGCCATCCTGGGCTACAGAGGGGAGACTCTACGCAGCTATACAAAACTGAAGACTTCCAGGGCAGCCAAATGGTTCAGTGAGTAACGGTGTTTGCCACCAAACCTGACAACCCGAGTTCGCTCCCTGCAACCCATACGGTAGAGGGACAGGACGGACACCTGCATGCTGTCCTCTGATCTCCACGTGTGCTTCGTCTTACCCCACTCCCCTAACATACAAGAGTAGATAAACGTAATAAAAAAACTTGGAAGCTTTAAACTGGCATTCCCTTGGTGTAAAATACAACTTCAGAATTAATTTGCTGAAAACAAAGGCTATATGGTTACTATTAAAAACAAACTTAGTTAACGCTTTTCCGCTGTGTCCTGAGCCTGGTTACAATTATTTCAGATCATGTGACTAAGGCAGGTTTTCTTTTTTTGACCCCTTAATGTCCTTTTGAATTTATTTAAGGATCCCCTAAAGCAGCAAATCCAGTTGTTGTTAGACCTCGGGAAACAATGTCTTTCAGGTTAATACTTCTATGCATTGTTTTAAGTGCTTTACATGTTTTTCTTCATCTCAAATGAAGAAGAAATTCTTACATTTTTGAAAACAGGAGACCTTCAGTTTAAAAACACACATTTGTATGTCTAGGGTGTGTTGTTACCTTGTGTTTTATGCTGTGTTGTTAGCATATAACACTATTTCATTTATTTTCTTCCATTAATTGTTCAAATTTGTGAAATACTTTATTTTTAGACATTATTTAAGATTCTGATTTATTCTAATATTGCTTAAATCTTTCCAAATTCTTAAGATAAGATTCTGCCTATGTTTAATTATTATGAGCCATGGCATCAGTTAGTTTTTCTTCGGGTAACTTGATTATGTTTTAGTCATTAAAACTGTGTTGATTCATCAGAACAACTAACTGTATTTAATAGTTCTGATGCATGACTTTCCTCCATATGTATTAAAAAGCTCAGATGCCTTCCATTGAACACAGTAATTTGGAAATTTAAAAAGTATACTTTTGTGCCTTAGTGATGTTTTATTTTAATTAAAAATATTACCTATATGTACATATATTTACATACAGTATAGAATAGATTATATATGTAATATACATGGGTTTTTTTTAAAGTTCGTTTGTTTGGTTTTGAGATAGGATTTCTCTTTGGGGGGTGCAAGTCGTGAGTATGATTCTTGGGTGTATTTTCATGCTGCTTCTTCAGTTAGACATGTGTACAAATGTCTGCACACCCCAATCAACCAACCAGAGGACAGAAGAATTTTATCTGTGTTTGAAGGCGTTTTCCACATGGGATGTCCTTCATCTACCCCGAGTGGCATGGTGAAAATTTTAATTATCTGGGTTCATCTTGAGTAGAAAGGGCTGGCCAAGTGGCTTAGCTTCATGTGGGTCTTGAGCACACTAAACCAGCACAAGTAGGGATTTACTGAAAGTGCCCTTTACTACCCATCTTTGTGCCTTATCAACTCTAGTTCGTCCTTTGGAAATGATGAGAAAATGCAGTGAATATTTTTCTTCTCTCTGGTGCTGAGGGAGACTGATCCAGAGCCTTGTATATACTAGATAATCGCTTTACCACTGAACCCCAGCCCCAGCCCGAGAAATGTAAGGTTGTCTTAGAAAGTCAGGGCAGGAAGCAGACAACACACGTTTCTCTTTTAATTTAAGCAATCTTTTTAGCCAGTGGGCTTAGAAACGCATGAAATTCCAAACCACCCTGAATACTGTCATGTCACTTCCTCCCAGTCTTTTTCTTCTTCCTTCTTCCTTGCTACCCCAGAATGCACACTCAGGACTCTGGTGAGGCGAAAGGGGTGGAGACTTATATTTAGGAAGCTCTTGCTCCTCGTAGCACGATACCCGACTCCACAAGTGTCCTGCTCCAGAAATATCTCCTGGATAGAGTTTCCTATATTTCCTCAAGGTATTGGGAAGATTGTAAGCAAGAGTTCTTGCCAATACAGTATTTTAGTGAGAAGAGACAAAGTCATGAAGAAATATGTTAATTCGAGCGTTGGAGACAACGCACAGTTTGATTTAACAGTGACCGTGGGCTCTGTTTTACATGGACCCCTCAGACAAGGGACTGAGGCCTGCACGGTGACAGCCATGTGAAATTCTCAGGGAAAGGTGTCACAGGGAGATGTAGAAGCTGTGCAAAGAGCTAAAGAAAGAATGTCCTTGGCCCTGTCACAAAAACCAGAAAGGAGGTTGATGAGGCTGGAAGTTGGTGGAGAGGTGGTTGGCAGGGTCCAGATCATGCAAGTCTTCGTGTGTGTAGCAACAATTTTAGGTTTTAAAACTTGAAACCCAGTGAAGAGAAACTAGAGGTGATTTTGGCCTGGTAAACAACACAGAAGCGTTTTCAGAGGTCTGCCATCCCTGGGCATGCAGAGTTTATTCTTCATTCGACTCTGAGTGGAGCACTTTCTTCTCGCCCGCCAGGCTGCAGTCAGGCAAAGGAAGGCCATCAAAGCCAAGCCCACACATTCCTTCTCTTCAGCCATCATCTTCCAGGAATAGGACAAAAATGACAGCCAAACGGGACATTTAGTAGCATCGAGAGACATAACAATCGAGTTGGAATTTCACTGGGCTTTCTTGACTCCTATAAAAGACTATTTTCTCCAAAAGCTGTCACTGGAAATTATTGAAAATGCATTTATTCATTATGTGAATGCCCAACCTTCCAGCAAGATGAATCTTCTTGGATTTATTCTTTGTTCTGTTTAATGTATTGGGCAGTTCCTTAGGGCACAAACATCTTCACTTGATTGTACCCCTGTATATAGCAAAGCATCATTTATCTTGGTCCCAGTGGGTAGCACAGCATACAGACCTGGTATATTTAGTTTAACTCTACTTTTAAAGCCCATTGCCTTACCGTACTTCCACCCCCCCCCTTGTTAAATGCAAGATTAAGGATTTGGAAAAAAGAGTCTAGAGCGGGAACACACAAGCATATGGCATTGAGTTTGATCACAGTGGAGCATTGGATGAGTAAGACAGCACTTGTGCAGGAGGGTTGAGCTTTTTTTTCTGTTGGATACTATCAGGCTCCATCTAATCAGAAAGGAAGTAGCGATGGGAGGCGGGGCTTCGACAGTATCTTATCTGCTGCACTGTAAGAATGTGCTTATAAACTAAAGGTCAGTGCTGGGAAGTGGCTCCTTGCAGTAGGCAGATTTCTGTTAGCACTGAGAGTCCCATTTGAATTAGAAGCTAAAAGAGGGAACCAGTTGTCCCATAGGGAGGATGGCTTAGTCACCAGACTCAGCTTTGGAGACCAGCATGGCTCCAAAACTCAAGGCCCCTGCTGAGAGCCCCTTTCAGCTCATCCAAAGGTGTCTTTATTTGGTCCCTTCTTCTTTTAAGGCCACAGAACCCTGTCATGGGAGCACCTCACATAAGTGTAATTAACTCGGATGCCATCACACTGGAAGTTAGGGTTTCAACACTTGAATTTCAGGGTACACAGGCACCCCGTCCTCACCCACTTCTGAGAGGGTGGATGATGGTATGGTTCACTCCGGGGGGTCTCTGGTGTTCTGTGTCTTTGTCATCTTTATTCACCATCTTCAATCTCTCGCTCAGATCCCCTTCCGAGAGTACTTGGGCACTGACTTTTACTGGATCGGCTTGAGGAAAAGTGATATGTGGAGGTGGGAAGATGGCCCCGTTCTAAGCTTAAGGTAAAATCTTTGAAGGGTGAGGGCAGTGAAGAAAGAGGAAGGAAGGAAAAACCTGGGGCTTAGGACACAGGAGGGAAACACCACAGACAGCAGAGTGTGGAAATGCAGACTGGGATGAGCAGAGGCGATCACATGAAGGCAGATAAAAACCGGATAAAGCCATTTATTCTCCCGCTGTTTTGGGACCTAAAGGATCAGAGAAGAAAACAGATTCACTACCCCCCCCCCCATGCCTTCCAAGTCTTTACTGTGCCTGTTACCCAAAGTGACTGACACCTCTGATTTCTTACAGGATTTTTTCTAACAGCTTGATACAGAGATGCGGTACCATCCACAGTAGTGGCCTTCAAGCCTCTAGTTGTGAAGTTCCTTTGCGGTGGATCTGTAAGAAGGCCATAAACTGATGGATGCCACCGTGTCCCGAGCCTCGGCTCTACCACGTGTCTTTAAAAAGAGGGAACTGGCCCTGGAAATCTTTGTTCACAAATGTATGTTTAACAAACGCCAAACCTGCTATGCTACGCCATCAGGCAGAGGATTAGCATAGCCTCCTGGGGGTTGGCATTTTCCTGCTGGTCTTTCTTGGATACTATTTAAGAAAGTATGTTAGCCCTTTAAAGCCTAGCTCTGGGCAAATGAAATGACAGAGTTTGTTTTAATGGCTCTCACTGTTCCCTCATTCCCATCTCTGCCATTTCTGTCAAAGATATGTCAAAACTATTACTCCACAAGGAAGAATGAAGCCCTGCCATGTTCAGTGCCTGTTACATGGAGATGAGCTAGACAGAAAAGCATACACCTCATGTTCGCTCGTGGTTGAAGCTAAACGAGTTTGTGCCAGAGTTTCAGGGAGAAGTGTGGTGGGCACAGAGTCCACGGAGGAATGGGGGAAGAGGTGGGCTGATGGCGTGCCTGCCGTGCCCTGTAGCCGTGCGGTGACAATAATGACCAATAATTCTTGTATGGCTGCCAACTTATTGTGAATTTCAAAACAGATAAATGAAAGGACTATGGGGTTTCCAAGTGCCTGAGAGGATGGATGTACTGACCCCTCTGACTGGGCATTGACCTCTTTTACCTGCATTGAAATATCATGCTGTATCCCACAAATGTGCACGGTTATTATGTATCGTTTAAAAACTGAAATCAAATAAGTCACAATTAAAATGAAGAAAAAAAACCATTCTGTTACATTTCTATTTTATATTCTGATCCAATGTGAAGAACCATTTGCACGTATTTCGGTGAGGTGCTTTTCTGTGTCCTGGCACGAAACATACAGAATACACGAGATAACGTGTGTCCTGCCACTGTGCATTCTGTCTTACTGGTGGCTCTTGGTACATGAAGTTTTCGTTTAAAACACTGCTTGCTGCAAGAGTACATGACTGCAAGGCGTGGGAAGTGGCCGAGGCCAGCCTGCCGCCTTCTGCTGCCTAGCTCTTCACACTTACAATGACCTGTGCTTAATTTGCCTTTTCAAATAAGCTTGCATGAGTGTGGTTGAAGGGACCAATGTGTGACAGTTTCTATTCTGTGTGGTGAATGTGTGCTTTGCATGTTAGCTCAGTGATGGCCCTTAATCTCACAGTGGGTTTTTACAGAGAAAACTTGACAGAAGTCATTCATGTGGTTGAGTCCTGTCCTGACGCCTTGAAAGTGAGAAGACTTCATTTTTTCTTCTTGGGAGAGTTTGGGCATAGGTGAGGCGGGAAGGTACCCATACACCACCAAACTGAAGTAAATCTTTGTCTTTTGATGATGCTGGGTTGCCATTTTTGTTTTCTTGGTTCACTCTTCTACCACTTTGTTTTAGCATCTGAGCTAGTACTGATATTCAGAAAATATTTAATAAGCAAACTGGTGAATAAAATAAGAGAAGTTAAAAATATTTCTTCGGGTTGTTTCTGTTAGGCCATGAGTTAGAGGGATTAAAGTCAAGAAAAAGAGTGTATTCTGCCCCTTCTAGCCCACCCAAGTGAGTAGTAAGTAGCTAACACCCCAAAGCTAATTTAATTCGGATTTTCTGTTTATAGAAGGAAGTGGTGGAGACATGTGCCCATCTTCCTACAATCTCTCAACTTTGCTCCTGGATGAGGACTCTCATAACTTATGGGCATGGTGGCATTTTCTCCCACTTTGTTGGGGTAATAATGATGGCACCATTTGGACCATGGCTTGACTGCTAGAAGATGTGCAATTTCAGTTGTATTCAAAGATAAATGAAGGGGGGGGGCAGCAGGCAGGATGTGTACCGTTTCCATCACAAAGAGTTTAGTTGATGCGTAAGGATTTCTCATGGTTACCAGTACTGGGTGTCATCTTGTGCTCCAGAAGTGTTAGTATAGAAATTGCTCATTTAGTCTCTCTCGTGACATCCCCTCCCCTACTAAATCTGAACACGATTTATTTGGCATTATAGACTGCATCTTTTTGGGGAGCAGAGTCTCATTTTGTGGATCAGTCTTGCCTTGAACTCATGATCTTCATGAGTAAATGTCTCAGCCTTCTGAGTACTGGACTACAGGCTGTGCGTGTTACCAGATTTGGCCTGATGGGAAATGTCACCCTGTAAATATGTTTCTCTTATTGGTTAATGAATAAATCACTGTTGGCAAATAGGAAAGCAAGATAGGTGGGACTAGGAGACAAGGAGGATTCTGGGAGATGTAGTAGGAGAGTAAACATGTAGGGACTTGAGAAGAAGGTCTGGACCATCTCTCTTGTAAGATGAGACCATGTAGAAATACTTAGATTGATAGAAATGGGTTAATATTTAGACAGAGCTAGCCAATAAGAAATGCTAGTAACTGGCCAACATCGTGGCTGTGTGTTATTTGGGGCTGACGTAGCACTGGGACCAGGCTAGCGGGAAAAACTGCTAGTAACAAAATGGTGCCTACAACATGGGGCCTGGGAACTTTCACTTAAAACTTAACCAAAGCTTAAAAAGGGGTTTTAGAAACAAAAGAACAGAGTCGAGCAAGGCTTCATGGTAGTGGCATTTTTCTCAGTTGGGCTGTTTTTCTAGAGACAAGCAGAGATTTGCATGGCTCCTCTAAGGGAGGTTTCCTGACTCAGCATAAGAGGCAACCCCCCCCCCCCAACAACTTAATGGTGTGTATGAGAGCTGGCAGTGGCAGCATGCTGCTGCATGGTAGCATGCTGCTGGATGGTAGCATAGACCAAGATGGTGAGCACAGCTCTCAGTGCTGGTGCTAAATGTACCCCCGCCATCTTGGCTTTCATTTTAGCAATGTTGTCTAGCAGATAAAAAACTCGTGGCCAGAGGGAGATAAAGACTTCACATTAAGGAAAAACCTCTAAAGGTTTACAATGTGTTTAAAAATATATGTAGACTTGGGTGAGAGAAAGAAATAGGATAAAATGGTTTAAAAAATAAATAAAAAGAAAGAGAGTAGCTGGGTGTGGTGGCACACGCCTTTAATTCCAGCACTTGGGAGACGGAGGCAAGAAGATCTCTGTGATTTCAAAGTAAACCTGATATACAGAGTTAATTCCAGGACAGGCAAAGTTACACAGAGAAACCCTGTCTCAATAAATGAAAAAATAGAAGTAAAAGAGATAGACTAATAAAAAAAGCCACGTAAAAATGGAAAATATATAGAGTCTGGGTACTGTATGCTATTGTGTTGTCTTTGAATTGCTCAATTGCTAAGGAAGGACAACAATTGCTACAATATACTTGATTATCAATTCTGCTGAACTAATCCAATTAATATATTTTTAAAAATGCTTGACTTCAAAACTTAAGTCTAAGGACAGGTTACTGGGGAAAAGAATTTCTATTTTTGTTTCCACAGAAAATAAAAAGCTATGGATTCCTTCCAGACTAACATGGTTTGATCAAGTAAGACACCCTGAAGCAGTATCCCAGGTAATCCAACATTCAAAACAGCTGGGACAAGGCAGCCTTGCAGACCACTAACTATAGCCACGATTTCTGCTTCTGTTCAAATCTTTTGTCTGTCGTTGGAGATTTTGTTATTTCTTTTTGTTGTTGTTGTTTGTTTTTTCTTCATCCTCTTGAGCTAGAGTATCCTGTGGCTCAGGTTGTCCTTGAAGTCACTATGCAGCAGAATGTGACCGTGAACTCCTAATGGCTTTTCTGTACAGCCCTTCTCAGACAGACTTTGTAAATGCACTCTGTCTGGGTCTTGCCCTTTTATTCTCCTAACTGGTTCAAAAACAATGTTGTCTGCTTTTAATCCCAGCACTTGGGAGGCAGAGGCATTGCAGATCCTTGTGAGTTTGAGGACAGTCTGGTCTACAGAGTTCCAGGGAGGCCATGGCTGTTACATAGGGAAACCCTGTCTTGAAAAACCAAATAAAACCCATAAAGTGGAAACAAAAAACTTTATGGATGTCTGTGTTCCATATGTGTGCAGGACCCATGGAGGCAGGAAGAGGGCATTGGATTCCCAGGAACAGAAGCTCCAGACTATTGGGAGCAGCCATGTGAATGCTGGGAACTAGACATGGGTCCTCTGGAAAAGCAGTCAATGCTCTTAACTGCTGAGCCATATCTCCAGCTTATCTCTCACTTATCAATGTATTTTAGAAAATGTATTTGATCACGTTTTTTTTTTTTTTTTTCTTCTTCTTATAATTTTGTCATCTCTGGGGTGATGTCATTTGTGTAGCAATTTGATTACTGGTGGCTCCTAGGTAGCTTTAGGCTTCAGGGTTTCTGCTTTGGTCTGTTCTCCAAAACAATGGGGTTGGGACCTTGAACTCCACTGTCCCACCTCTGGAGGGGCTGGAGATTGATTTGATTACCACAGGCCAATTATTTAATAATTGTGTAAAGGAAGCAGAAGGCCACAGTTCTGAAGAGTACACACCCTGTGTGGGTATGAGTGCTCACCACTCCTTTCTACACGACTTTCCACCTGGGGGTTCATCTGTATCCTTTATAGCATCCTTTATAACCAATGAGCACATGTAAGGAAGTGTTTTCCTAAGTTCTGTAGGTCAGTAACAGATTGGAAGCTGCCTGAGGAGGGGATCCTGGGACCCTGCACTTAAAGTCAGCTAATCAGAAGTTTAGGGCACAAACTGCTTGTAACTGTCAACTGTGACATCATCCGAAGTTGGTAACTGTCATGGGACTGGGACATCAACCTGTGATGCTGTTTTTGGGTGGGTAATATCAGAATTAAGTTAGATAATACACAGCTAGTCTCTACCAAAGAATCTTCTACAAGACCAATTCCTTGCTTGGTTCATGGGTGTCTGAATTAAAGTCACAGAACATTGTACACGTTTTGGCTTTGTTCTTTTTCTCTTTCTTTCTTTCTTTCTTTCTTTCTTTCTTTCTTTCTTCCTATTGCCCTTTCTTTCTTTCTTCCTTTCTTTTTTGCAGTTGGCCTTTTTTATTGTAGCTTGTGGTTTTGCCTAGTCCAGTATCACAAAGATCACATTGATGTTTTCTTCTAACTTCTAAAAATCATTTTAGGTTTTGTATTTAAGAATGGGTTGAATTACTTTTTTTTTTTCTTATAGATGCCTAATTATTTCAGTGTCATTTTAGTTTTCACGTGCTATCCTGTGTATTTGATATATCTACCCATGTGTGTAGGTGTGGTAGTTTAAATAGGAATAGTCCCCATATATTCATATATTGGAATAGTTGGTCTCCAGTTTGTGGAACTGTTTAGGAAGGATTAGGAGGTGTGGCCTTGTTGGAGGAGATGTGTCACTGGGGATGGGCTTTGAGATTTCAGAAGCTCATGCCATTCTCTGGTAGCTCTTTCTGCCTCATGGCTGTGTCTTAGGATGTGACATCTCAGCTACCATTCCAGCGTCATGTCTGTTTGCCATGCTCCCCATCTATAAAGATGGGTTCTGACTTTTTGAAGCTATAAGCCCCAAATTAAATAGTTTCTTTTTAATAAATAGATAGAGAAATAAACAAATAAATAAGTTTTGAGGCAGGGTGTCTCTGTGTAGCCCAGGCTATTCTGGAACTCACTATGTAGACTAGGCTGGTCTCAAACTCACAGAAATATACCTGTTTTTGTCTCCCAAGTGCTGCAATTAAAGGCATGTTTTCTTGTATAAGTTGCCTTGGTCATGATGTTTTATCACAGCAATATAAAGCCATGACAGTAGGGATGTGCAT